AATACTCCTGTAATATTAAAAAAATATTTATGATATTTTCTAAATATTATAATAACATTATTTTAATTTTTTAATAATATTCATGTAACATTCTAGGAACATTTTGCGCTTATAGGGATATTTTCATGCAATGTGGGAAGTTATGAATTTGGTAACACAATACAAAAAGAAATATTAATATTAAGTTTTATGATTGTTATAGCTGTTTTTAAAAATATTAAAATCAGCTGTAACAATCAAAAGATCTGTTCTTTTTGCCTGAACTTTTGCACCAGTTTATCTTTCTTCCTTTTCTCTCCAGGAGAAAAAAAGAGGAAGAAAGATGAATTGGTGCAAAAGTTCAGGCTTAGAAACACAAGCATTTATTAGTACAGTTCCGTACAATGATAAATTTAAGAATATGGACTCTGATAATCCAAAGATTGTTTACATAGATGACACATAATATAATTTATATAATATACCTTTATCACATCTTTCCTTCTTTTCTCCAACGTGATGAGTCTGAAGAAATCAGCTGAAAAGAATACTATTGATTGAGCAAAATACCAGAATTATCTGAGTATATGCTAAATAATATTACAATGAAGATCGTATCTGTTGTTTTAATATTTCGCCACAATTTGAATTTACATTGTGTTTAACTTGAAATATTTTTATTTAAAAATTATCGATAAGTGCGCTTTTTCTTTATCAACTGTCGATAATTATCGATAGTGAGAATTTTCTCATCAAATTATCTACAGAGTTTCAATATTGTTGAAGTGGCGCTGAGTACGTACATCAAAAAAGCCATAATTGCTTGTTTCTTTGTTACGATTGTCATGTTTACATTTCCTAATTGAAATTATTGGAAATAATCTCTGTATCATTGAAGTAGCTCGGCTCGAAATATGGCTAAGACAAAAACAATTAGCAAGGGATGCCCCAAATGTGAGCAGCAGGTATTTAGATAAATTCCTATCATGTGTAATAATTCATACATCTTTTTTAATAATTATATTCACACACATACGATATGCCTTTCGTATATTTATGAAGTTACATATGTTCTATTTATATAATGTAATGATTCACGTTTGTTATGAAAGATGCACTTTTATTTTTATTATTTATTGAATGTTTCTGTAATATTTATCTTATATATATTTATTAAGTTTTCTCAAAATTTAATATTGAAATTATCCGCAAAGTATCCAATAAAATATGCAAAATTTTTTGTAGATGAATGCATTTTCTCATCGAAGTTTCATTTATTAATTGATGAATGAGATAACGGTTATTAAATTATTATTTATACTTGTATATTATTTACTATTTTTTTAAAAATCTTATTAATAATATATCATTTTAAGGATTTGATATATTTTGTACCTTGAAATATTTTATATCTTCCTTTACTGATATTGATTAAATTAATTGTCTATAAATTGTATGCTAAGTTGAAAATATTATCAATAAATTTGACTGCTTCTCTTATAATAAGGTACCTGTTGCCTGTAAAGCTTGTCCTTGTGGACATTCTTTTTTCAATGCAAGACGTAATTCTATCAAAAGTCCACCCAGTCCCGACAGTGGAGTGATGAAAACAAGAAGAACGAATCGCATTAAACGAGAGAAGCCAAATTATTATGATGCTTTGGAATATGATAAGCAGATGAAAAAAAGTGCCAAGGTAGAATAGAATATTGCTTTTAATATTAACATTTTGCGTACACATAGATTTATTTGATCGTAATTCTGTTTTAGTTTGTACTATTACTATGCATAACATATTAAATTTGTTTAATTTTTTAATATATGTAATAATATTGTATTGTAATACATTATTATATTGTTTGAAAGAATATTTGATATTCTTAATGCATGTATATAAAAGCTATTTTATACTTTTAGATCAGAAGGACTACAGACAATTCAAATGATATTGATTGTCGTCAGTTGAACAAAAAGAAAAAACGAAAAGGAAAGGGAAAGGGCAAGAGTGGCAGTAACAGTGGTATGGGTGATGATGACGATGAAATGGATGGAATCAATGGATTATCTCCAGAGAAACAGCTCACTTGTTCTCTCATATTGCAAGAACTGAACAACAAGATGAGAGTGGTAGCCTGGAAGCCTACGTGAAATCTGCAATATAGATATATATATCTCTGACGATCTCAATGACCATTAGTGATTATCTTATCGGTGCATTAAAAGTTCAGACACTACCTGCTGGTGTATTCAAAGTTTCAGAAACACTATCGCGTCTCTGGATTGCACAATGGTAAGATGCAAATGAAACAGAGTTTATACAGTACAATACACTACGTACATTGATCTTCTAAGATATTGAAAAAGTTGTCGAATTTACATTGATTTTAGTCCCTATACAGAAATAACTGCCATGAAAGTCTCTGATTGCTGTAATTTTTCATAGCATCCTTATGGATCACTTTTTTTATTGTGATTGAGAATTGTGATGTTAATGTTCTGCATATGAAACGTGTAAACTTGTAACTCTAGATTACGTCCTACTTATATTTTACATTTAGCGCTAAATATATGTCTGATTCTCAAAATTATTCTTAGAATTCTGATAAGGAAATACTGAACGGATAATACTGGATAATCAGACTATCTTAGATAATGTCTCAGTCAGACTGCCATATATAGCGCTTTAAATGCAAATAGAGACTTTATACTTTAATAAATAAAATCTTCCGAGATTATTTGTATAGGATATTACGTACATATATATCTAACAGAAATTATGTGTATATATATATATGTATATATAATTTTGAATTTATTTGCGTCCATTATTTCAAGGTATTTGTGACCTAATATTCATAGAAACATTTATTCTTCCTTTTTATCCAGAAATATATGCTTACGAAATTTTTAAATATACTTATAACTCACCTTGTGTATGTATATACATATATATACGCATATATACATATATACACATACCTATTTAAAGATTAAAAAAAGAAATACGTAAAATTCATGACTTAACATGTACATATTTAGACCTAATAAAAAAAATTTATATTATAGATTATATTGTAAAGATTTTATATTATAGATTATTTATCATCATTTTTTAAATATTATTCATATATCCATTTGAATTAATTTACTTTCTATGTGATAGTCATCTTTTCATATATATATATATATATATAAACAATGTTTACACTAAGACTATTAAATTAATAAGAGATTTTGTATATAATTGTAATAATATGTAAAATGTAAATAATAAAAATAAGATAAGAAAACTTTTTGGAGATTGTTTATATGTTTATTAGGATTCGTGAGACATATGTACTCATGAACATTATTGTTTATACATTCACAAAACATACGTAATTTAAAACTCTCACCGAATGTTAATTAAATTTATTTGAAAGAATACTTGGCAGAATGGATGTGTTGAAAATATTGAAATACAATGAGAAAATGTCAGAAATAATTTAAGAATAAAATGAATAAATAAAGCATGAATATGTAAGTTTCTAATCTATCTCATTAAATTTATCTAATAAAGATATTCTGTCTTAATACATGTATAAAAATGGCAGGGAGTCCATCTTGGAGATATTCAGTAAGCATTAATATGTTCTTTTTTGTGACAACTGTTACGATTTATTTATTTTCCTATTACACATTAAATCACTTTATAGTCAACGATCACATTTTCAAAATAATTTATCCTTTTATGGTAGTGTCCCCTTGACGATTGTTATTCGGCATTCACGGGCAGCTTTGTTGGGTTTGTTTGGTTCTCGTTGAAAACCAAAAGCAAAGGCAAACCCCCTATGACCATACACGTACCCATACACAAAAAACACACAGTGTAGCTTCCAGTTACATCGCGAAGATAACCTGGAATAATATCAATTATTATATAATCAATATAATATATAGCAATCAAAATCAATAAGAATTTATTAGAAATATGTAACTATATCGTTAAAAAGAAAGAAACGAATTACATGAAAATAAATAAATACGTTAATTTTAGTATATATGTGTAAATTCATGTAAACACGCTTAGGATGAAAATAAATTGCACACATTAAAATATTTACGAGAATATCCTTAAAGCGTGTTTACGTGAATTTACATACATATACTAAATTAACGTATTTATTTTCATGCAATTCGTTTTTTCTTTTTAACGATATAGTTACATATTTCTAATAAATCTCAATTGAGATTGTAATTTATTATTGTATTTGCTTCACAATGTATTTCGTTATTTATTTTTATTTATAAAGTTCAGAATTTGCGAAAATATATATTATTCAATATGTAGAACATCTTAACATTATATAATAATTATAATATCTCAATATAACTCAAATACTATTAGTAACTTGACATTTTCTCTAAAGAAAAATCGATTTCGAATTAGTGATGGCTGCAGTAATTTATTATTCTATTTTATCTATTTTATAAAATCATTCGAGCAATTAACTATAACGTACAAGTTTATCAAGATAAAAAATATATCAACATCGAATTATTTAACATAATTTAAATAAAAATCTAGACAAATACATAAAAACACAAAGCTGAGAAAACGTAAACAATAATCTTCAAAAATAATAATATCAAAACAATTAAAAAAGGCGATTATTAATGTGATTCAAAAGTCATATAATTATTCATAAAAATTATTAAACATAAAATTGCTTGATGACAAAAAAATCGTAATTTTTATCCTATGTTGCACACATCGATCGCTATTTACTTATTAGAAAAAAGCAAGCCTGCAAGAGAGACCAGCGGTGGTTGAAACAAAGAGCAACCCTGGCGGTACATTATGTATACGTGTGTGCGAGTGCAGCTTCTATATTTTTATCTCCGCACTCTTAAACGTAATTATGCGGATAATTAACGCAATATATAGTACAATATGTGGCTCAATATTTTCTCTATTGTCTCTGGAGTGAGTCGCGCGTGTATTTTTCCATAGTCACACATACATAGAAAAGTCGATCAAATTAAAGGGAAGACAAGAAAAAGGGAATCTGCAGTTCGATCTAAATTAAAGAGCATTTGCTGCCTTTGAGAAGTGATTGTAGCGTACGGTTCCGGGGCAAGAAAGTGACATCGTTACTGGTTGTTACCTGCGAGAGGCGGAATGGAGATCGCTCCAAAGCTCTGGAACATCCTCACGAGACCGTAGCTGGACGATATTTTGTCGGTGCCGTATTGATCGGCGAGCAGGACGGGAACTAGGAGGAACCAACAGCCTAGGCACAACCCGTACATGCCGACGGAACACGCCAGTACATAAAAGGAGTGAGCCATCGGAATCGCCAAGACCGCTACGCCAGCACCGACCACGCTGCTCAATGAAAAAGAGACGTTCAATAATTTAATAGTTATATACTTTCGTTTCAACGCCCCCGGAACGAAAGAATCCGCCTGAAGATATTTAAAGCAGATATCACATTGGGATAATTAATTGTTCGTTCATTAAATATTCAAACCGATGATATCCCAGAATATTTCTCAGGATCCTAAAATATCTTCTAAACGCGTTAAATTGCAATCTCTAAGTATCACGCGTGAAGCGAATAGAAGCGATCCATAAATATTTCCTGGAATCGATCTTCATAAGTTATTTATCGGGAATACAGACATAATTATAATTATAATTAATTGTGTCTCTTTCTCCAACTAATGCGACGTCTCGGCAATCTTACGACGCGAATTGAACTCTGAAATAGAGTTTGAGATGTGTGTCACACGTGAATGAAATATCGCTAACCTGCCAATGTATCCTTTCCGCCGATCGAACAGCTTGAGATCCGAGAGCCAGCCAAGACCGAGTCTGCCACACAAATCGAGCACGGCGGAGATGGCCACCAAGTAGCCGGCCTCCGATTTCGTGTAACCAGCGGCGTGGACGTACGCCGGCAGGTAGTACAGCATGTACGGGCTACCAGTGGACATCAGGCTGACGGAGAAGCACATCATGATGAACTGCGGATTCTTCAGCAGCGACAAGTCGAGATAGCGCGTTAGTCTCTGCATGAACGTGATCTTAGATTCCGTTGACGATGTCAGCGACAAGGACGGAATCCTGTTCGGCGGCGACGGTGGCGGCTGTTGCTGTTGTTGTTCCGGCGGACCCATCGCCGTCACAGAGGACTTCAACGATCTGAGCGACGATCTATTAGCCTTGTACACGCATGTCGAGTCCGTAGACAGATCCTCCACGCTGTGCAGGATACTGGAGCTACGAATCTTGGAAATAGGCTTCATGCGGAGACCCTCGCCCATCACATCCTTCTCTTCATCACTGTCGGTCAGCTCGACCGCCACCACGCCGCTGTTCTGGTGGAACAATTCGTTCAGCATGTTGTGTCGGGCAGTTGGATCGTTGGCGAACAATAATTCCAATTTTTGTTGTTTTGATTTGTCCTGATCCTGTAGAAAAGACAGCCGATGGATGAATATTATAAATTGCCATTGAATTGTTATAGCCGATATTGATTAGTTATTATTACATATTGAGCATTTCCGTCTATAAACAAAATGAGGCGTTTGCAATATTTTATAAAGAAAATATATTTAATTACATATTTTACAAATAATTTGCATGTATACATAATAAATATTAATATCAATAGTAGATATATGTATAACGTATATCAATTGAGCATTCAATTGTACCTGGTCTTTCAGTTCTTTCTCGATCTTCTTCACCGAGACGTCTTCCTCAGGAGCATAATTTTCGTCCAGTGGTCGGTACAGGGTCGCACTGACACATACGTGCAGCATGCAACCGCCTAATAGCAATATTGTGCCGTGAAAGCCGAAGTCTTTCACCAGAAATTCGATCAGAAGCGGGAATACGAAGCTACCCGCGGCAGTGCCGGACACGCAGATCCCATTTGCCAAAGCGCGATGCTTGTCGAAGTATTGCGATACCAGGATTATACCTGGAGTCGTCGACAAGCCACCGCCGATACCTGCAAGGACACTTTTAACTTTGCTTCTTCAATAAAATACGATATTGGAAGTGCTCGACGATGCGAAAGATGTAACGTGTAAGATATGAAGAACTGATGGAAGAATCAGGTCACAAGATTGAGAAATTCAAATTGTACAAACCTGTCAGCACTCCAAATGTAAAAAAGAGGTGTATTAATCGCGTGGCAAAGTAACTAGTTGTAAGTCCTAGAGCGCAGAAAAGTCCTCCCACGAAAACTACCGTTCGACAGCTGTACTTCTGGCAGAGCATACTCGTCACAGGAGCTGCGAAACGAAATATCGATTTAGCGCGCCTCGATTAAATATTATATCGACGTAAAAGGACAAGGTCAGCTAACGACGGATCATAGGCATACGCGAGTTACGTTCCTTTTTTCCCCCGAGAAACTGAGGTCACGGAGACAGAGAAGCCTGAACGACAACGATGACTTACCAAGCGCTAAACATAGGCACGTCAGAATCGCTGGTATCCAAGACGCGACCGAGGCTGATGACTCCTTGAAAGTCTCCATGACCTCGACGTACAGCACA